GCTGACTTAGCGAACTCACGTAGTCACCACGGGAGAATCATAAAATGAAGTTAAAATCATCGATATTTACTATTTACTGACAATGGAATTGCGTTGTACTGGCAGAAGGTTTTCCAGTGATAAACAAATGGGAGTTCGAATTAAATGATTGGTGAGGGTGACAATCCGCCATTGATATAAATTCAAACTCACGAGTACAGGAAATGTAAAGAAATTATATCACCATAGAATGCCAGTGTTCTTGGACAATTTAGACGCCCTTCTGTCAAAAAGTTAATGGTACGGTGCAGATTTCCGTGTCTATGCCATAAATCAGGAGTGTCATATTTTAAAGGCAGAATCCCCAGCTACGTGTCCAGTATAGCGTGCAATATTTTGCTTGCTTTCCATAGAATGTTACTCATTAATCAAGCTCAGAGGGAAGAACGGTGAGTGACTCCTAACGGGGTGACTAACTCACACCGTGCTTGAACTCGGTTCCCATTCGATTTTGAGCTCGACGCTCTGCCAGTTGAGCAACCCCGGTATGAAGCGATGTGTGGCAAATTTCTTGCTCAATTGAATTCGTAATAAAAGCAGACAATGTCCTCGATTAAATTCGAACCGGGTACCTCTAGAACTAGAAGCAGACCTCATAGATAACTTGGCCAACACACCATACATGACAGGAGGGCTGAACGCCGACTTAGTGACCTTGCCCAATGACTATAATGAGATTATTTGACAACGGCACTGTACTTTACCCTCATACAACTTTCCGTTGATGTACAACATGATGGGTTAAACCAAGCGGTTGATGCAGCTGACCAATGTTAAGATATACCGCAGGCATGAGCGCTGACACGAGCCAGTAGTCTGCGCCCAAAGACTCTGTCAAAATTTTCCTTTGCGCTTATTAGAGATGAGCTGGTGTTTTTGATTACCAAATATGTGAATATGTTTTTAATCCAGATCTGTACTGAAGACATTTCTCAAATGGTGCGCCAATACTGACTCTTAATATATTAATAACTCATATCCTTACTAAGGTAAAGTATTAACATTGTACCTTGAAGACAGATCGAGGTTGGTCCGAAACGTCAAATGGCCTTAATTAAAGAATATTTCATGCGTTGTGTTCCCTTTTGTGACTTACAAAAAGCATCATATCATCTCACACAGAAAAAAATCATGTACCTTATTCAATGTTAACATATTAATATATTTATAAATCTCTTTGTGGTTGCTCTTCCTTACTGCAATTTTTGTTATTGCAGTCAGTTCGTT